TGGCGTCTCATCAGCGTGGACGAGATGGATCTCACACTGAAGCAGTTCTCCGTAAAGGATCTCCGTCGTCTCGATAAGGAAGTTCGGTCCTGGCCTGTCTTTCTTGGCATTGAAGCTGAGGTTCGCAACATGATATCCTCTTTGAGAGCCATGAATGAACTGCAGAATCCAGCTATACGAGGACGCCATTGGTCACAGTTGATGTCAACCACGGGAGTCCGTTTTGTCATGAATGAGAACACCGTCCTTGCGGAACTCCTAGCTCTAAAGCTGCATAACTACGAGGAGGAAGTACATATGCTTGTTGATAAGGCTGTGAAAGAGGCCTCCATGGAGAAAGTGTTGAAGGAACTGGACCAAACATGGAGTCAGGTGTCATTTGAAGTGGAGCAGCATCCAAGACGAAATCTGAAATTGTTCAAGGTCAGCCAGGAGACAGTGGAGGTGCTTGAGGAGAATCAAATGCAACTGCAAAATATGGCCACCTCAAAGCACATTGACTTCTTCCGGGATCAAATTGCTGAATGGCAGAAGAAACTCACAGTCACTGACTATGTTATCGGTCTGTGGTCGGAGGTGCAAAGAACATGGGCGTACCTGGAAGCTATTTTCCTCACCTCAGAGGACATCCGTGAGCAACTGCCCGAAGACTCCAAGAGGTTTGATAAAATTGATAAAGAATTTGAGCAAATTGTTGAGGACATTGAGAAGAGAGGAACTAATGTCATTGAAGCCACGCATTTGCCCTCTGTGTCTGAACGTCTTGAAAGCCTCAAAGAACGTTTGACTCTCTGTGAAAAGGCACTTGCTGATTACCTCGACACAAAGCGTCTGGCGTTCCCTCGCTTCTACTTTATTTCACCCACAGATCTACTGGATATTTTAGCCAATGGCAACGAGCCTGTTAAAGTCATGCCCCACTTGTCAAAACTGTTTGACAGCATCGCCAGTGTTGACTTAAAACCGAATTCAAAAACTGCGACATCGATGAAAGCAAAGGATGGTGAGGAGGTTCGATTGGCAAAGGAGTGTTCTCTTGAGGGAAAAGTTGAAGTCTGGCTTAATCGACTGCTAGAGGAGATGCAAGCCACTTTACTGCACAACCTCCATCAGTGTGTGTTCAATTTTGAAGAAAAACCTCGAGAACAGTGGATCTTTGACTATCCCGCCCAAATCTCCCTAGCCGGTTGTCAGATAGGCTGGGTGGCAGAAGTAAATCTCAACTTTACTCAACTGGAAGAGGGTTACGAGAATGCGATGAAGTTTTTCAACAAAAAACAGATTACCCAATTAAATGCACTAATCACTCTGTTGGTGGGCGAACTGAGTCCACAGGAGCGTCAAAAGGTGATGACCATCTGCACCATTGATGTGCACAATCGTGATGTGGTGGCGCGGCTGATTTCCCAGAAGGTGATGGAGCACACTGCTTTTGAATGGCTCAGCCAACTGCGACATCGGTGGGATGAAGAGGTTGGCGATTGCTTCGCTGACATCTGCGACGCCCAGTTCCACTACGCCTACGAGTACCTCGGCAACACGCCACGGCTTGTCATCACTCCACTCACGGATCGTTGTTACATCACTCTCACCCAGTCTCTTCACCTATTCATGTCTGGTGCCCCGGCGGGTCCTGCAGGAACTGG